TGATTTCTATCACCTCCCTAATCTTTCGCTTACTCGTATAGTCTCCATATCCAGCTAAGCGTTTGGCATTAGACCAATCTATCTGATGTCCTGTGGTAGCCATGTTTTCGGCTAATTCCGATTTTTAGACCTTCATACCCTTGCCTGCTGTTTTGTGTTCAGATAACCTCTTATGTATGGGTATAAAGATCTCTCCCACATAGGCACTACCACATTAAATTAAAATCTTGTAACAGTCTGATCTGGAGAGCGGGTTAGAGTATTCTCTAAAAGAAGGCAATACCGAGGATAGTGTTATTTTCTTTGTATAAATGGTCCTGATGCCCCACCTCCTTAGTAATTCGCCTATCTCCTCCGAGAGATTACACGATGGCAGCATAAGAACCATGGCAGAATGATCTATTTTTTTATCTAGCCCCAAATATCTATTTCTCTTCATTCAATTTGACAGTATTCTAAAATAAGTATTTTTCGTATGTAATTAGAGTCTCGAGACTACCAGTAAATCTTCAATATGAGATGCATTCACCCTATTTCGTTTAAGGTGATGAAGGACTGGTGGTTGAATTAGGGCGAATACACCTCATATTACTTATTTACTGGTAGTCTCGCGACTCTACTTACATACGAAAAATAAGTAACGTAGTCGATTGTTATAGCAAAAATACGTTTGCTCCATCGACAATCCCACCAAAGAATGTGATATGGGAAAAGGCCTGGCCTTCCTTGAAATTCATATCTGCCCTGTGATCCAAGGGCATCTATGGCAATGTGGCCGAGTGGTTAACATGTCAAGCTCACATGCTGCACTTTCACAGTTCGAATTCCGCTGAGGGTATAGATAAGACCGATGCAAGGTCGAAACTGCAGTCCACCCTGGATGCGAACAACTTTTGGGAAAGCAAGGCTATGTGAAATTAAATGGAAACGTCAGCTCTATTCATACAGCTTGTTTTAATTTGGTTCAATGTTGAACCACAACATTTGTGGGTTGGTACTCAAGAGACTAGGGCATAGGAAGTAATAGGCTTGGTAGTATAGATAGATAAAGGATAGAAGCAGTGGGAGCTAAAGCTGGTTGGCTAACAATAATCGTGATTCAAGGATCACGTCTATGATCAAACACGTCTATTGTTAGCCAAATAGCTTTAGTCTCCACCGCGTCTTTCATGTTTCTATCTGTAATACCATGACTATCACCCACAAATGTTGTGGTTCAACATTAAACCAAATCAAAACAAGCTGTACCACAAAATGTGTGGGCTGGCACACAAGAGACTAGGGCATGGAAAATCATATACTTGGTATTAGGGATAGAAACAGGATGAGACGGCGGGGACCGGAGCTAGTTAGTTGACGGTAGGTCTGTTGTACCCGAGACGTGGTACATGTAGCAAAAGGGTGACCATGACACTCAGAGGCTTGGGCCTCACCCAGACGCAGGGGAGGGCGAATAACCCCTCAAGTAGGACAGATGTGGTGGCAGGAGTCGAGTGAAATAGGTGAACAAGGGGTAGAGCATATGGATTTTACGGAGCAAGAGAGAGATTGATATAATACTAGGAAAGAGGACTGCATAATAATATAACAGGCTCTGATCAACACTCCCTGCACAAGGATGAAGGGTGGGGGGTGAGAACGATAGTTGGAGTGTGAAGGTGTCATGCCGCTCATAGAAGCACACCACACTATATCTAAATAAATATGGTAAAAATTGTAATGGTGAAGGCATGATAGGATTCTCGAATATATAAAGACTAAGATGTGGCCTCTGGTGTGGTCGCAATCTCCTTTCGATTACTTGAGCTTCAAGCAAATGAATTTCGTTAGTTTGTGCATTGCTTCATGCTTGATGTTGACTATTAGTCTTAGAAGATTTCCTTCTTTGTGTACCTTCGGTAGTCCATAGGCTGTCGGTGGTCTTGCGTCATTTTTGATCAAGAATTTCATCATCCATCTGTCGATCTTCGTGGTTGGATACTTTCTTAATATTTGATAAGTGTTTCGTTCGCCTAAGATAATTTTCATTTTCTCCGTCTAATGTTTCCTGTCCATTACAACAGTCGCTCCTCCTTTATCGGCCTGAAGAACTATTTGATCATTCATTTGTAATTTTTTCCGAAAAGCAGCCAATCTGCTCATGTGTATCGGTTCTTGATGATTCAGGATCCGTAGGATTATTTCCAGTTCCATCTCCCGCCTTGTATCTTCTGGATATTTATCCGTGACAACTTCCACCAGGATATCACTAAGAACATTTCTTTACCTGGTGAAAAATGTAACCCCTTCTTTAAGAGATCCGTAGTTTCAGATTCAAGAGGGATTGAAGATAGGTTTACAACCTCTATCCTATCGTCGACTGTAGCAGTTGATACTTTCAGTAGAGAATCATCACAATTTGCCCGGGTTGGCTTTGTCTCGTATTGGCTTATTATCTTATAGCTAAGCAATTTCTTGTCATGTCGCTTATTTATCAGATCCCGGACCCTCTGTGACTTCGGATAGGTCATGCTCTGAAGTTTTTATGAAAATTATCCAAAGCGAGAACCCTACCTAAATCCTTCCTTACGCTCGATTTGAGATCTATGAACTTAAATAGCTTACGCCTCTCGGTCTCGTAACTTTCCTCTAATTTTTTGATGGAGGTGTGATAAAGTATTTTATTAACTGTGTCTGAATGACACTTCCTCATTAGATTGCAGAATCGGGGCACGATACCATGATGTTTGCAACAATTCACACTATATATAAATAAACCCGGTAAAATTGTAATAGTGAAGGCATGATAGGATTCTTCCTGAAACGCGAATAACCCTGGGCAGAAGTGGAGATACCACAATTCTTTGGCACACGTTTGGTCAAAGGATCGGCTTCACTTGTCTATTTGACGAGTTGTGGTATGATGCTAAGAATGGCGATACTCACTGACGATGCTGACTACGATGCCGGCGAAACGTTTGGGAATGTAACACATCCACGGTTCAACTTTGGAAACGCTCATGCAGGCAATGGACTCCGGAATAGGTGCGTTCCTCTAAGTCTTCCTACTAATATGACCAAGTTGCGAAAACAAGGTCAAACAACTTCTATCCAACGAAAGGAGACTGCGACCACACAGAAGGCCACACCATATTGGTCTTCATTTTATAACCCATGTTAGCAGAATTTTGAAGCGATTCTCACACAGTAGAAAAGTAAGACTGGAACGCATTATAAGGTTACTTTGACCTGTTTACAGTAAACAAGGAACTTTAAGTCTTAACTAGTTGATAATCTCAGACTGAGGATGGATTATACATTCTTCCTTACTAGCTGTTGCATATGAAAGTCTCTATAACCTTTGGTTGCATTTCGCCTAGTTATTTCTTAGTTAAAATGGATAAAACAGGCATACATTTATCGAAAACCTGGGACGTAACTTAGTTCATGCTGCCATCAAATGTTTATTTGCAAATTTTTTATTGTAGAGCTGTAGCGAGCCTATATAAAAAGTATATATGAGATTGTCTCAAAAGCCTACTTATAAATGAAGAACTTTAAAATTTTTTTTAAATCTTAAGCTTAATTATTGTTTAGGCTTTGTTTGAAAACTCAACTCAATCATACTGTTGTGTTCCAAAGAAGGTCGTTAACTGTCTAAAAAACATAAAACGCTTGTTTTCTACATCTCCAAAGATGGAGGTCCCGGAACGAAAAGAGAAAGTAACAATTACTATTACCAATTGTCCTATTTTGAAATGGCTGACTACAGTCTTGGGGGGCTGATGATAGACAGACAATCATTTAAAGATGGCGCGAAATAGAACACTCTAAACCCCCCTGGCCAGAGCGGAGGGGAGAAAGATAAGGAGAAGGACCAATTTAAACAGTATGATAGCTAGAAGTTGTTTGACCTTGTTTTCGCAACTTGGTCATATTTGTAGGAAGACTTAGAGGAACGCACTTAGTCTGGAGTCCATTGTATGCATGATCATTTCCAGAGTAGGACCGTGGACGTGGTACATTTGCACGTTAACTACTTGATATGCCCTAGCATAGTTTTAGATGCCAAATTCTGATTGGACGATGCTGTGCCGAGCTTTGATTCAACGACGCGAAATAAATTAGTCACGCACTGACGTGATCTCTGCACCAAAGGATGTTGGGCCATCGCTAATTATGGGATTTAACAAAACTAATCATTGAATGGGAAGTGTGGGGATAAGTCACTACAATATTCTATAAAATGTCTTATTTTCCGAAAAAGTTTAAAGTTTTCCTTTTTCATGCATCCCATAGCCACAATCTGAAGCTTAAAATATAATCAACCTTTGCAAATGCGGAATACTTTTCAGACATACAAATAGGTCTGGCCTTCCTAGAAATACACATCTACCTTGTGACTCAAAGGCATTCGTGGCAATGTGGCTTAATGATTAAAATGTCAAGATCATACACTGCACTGTCATGATTCGAGTCTCATTTAGGGTGTTGATAGGACCTAGGCGAAGTAGAGACTGAAGTCCATCCTGGATGAGAATACTTTTTGGGAATGCGAGGCCATGTGAAGTCTCATGGAAAGATAATGTCTACTTGTATAAATGTGGGAAAATTTATCGATCACTTTAAACGAAATAGGATGAATATAGCAAGTAGATTTTTTGTTCAAATTAAATTCTATTTATTTGCCCAAACGATAAATTTATTTCCCGAAGTCTACATCCATCTTAAATTATTTCTTGCTCAGGATTAAATCCTTGCGGCTCCCAGACAGCAAACTCTGCAGGACAGACGATTTCTATTCTACAGTCCGACTACATGGGTGTCCAAGTGATCCCTCCATCGATGGATATTCCCAGAATTGTTCCAACATTTGCCGATACAGGTCGCCGCAAAGATCTGCCAACCTGTTCTATAATCCTTCTTCTTGGTGAGTCATGTTATCATTGTTGAAACGAAATATTATTTATGGAGGTGGTTTGGCCTTTTTTTCTCAACTTGGTCACATTATCAGTGAGATATGCACACCTTGTCCAGAGTAATCTTCCCTAGTATCCATAGTAATTTCCTATATCTGACCGTGGTATCAGTGATCAAGTGAAATCACTTAACCAATGAGCTAAGCAACAGACCTTACTAAGAAAAAGGCAGACTTTAATAGATCCTGGAGGAACAGAATTTTAGACTAACAAAACAAACTCGGATCAACTCTTATACCACAGGGTAGAATGAGGGAACCAGCGGGGAGTGTGAATACGCCTCACTAAATCCGCTCGAAAGTGCACACATGGACTAGGTTAATATAAAAAGTTAGAAATTGTGATGTAGAATTGGGCGATATGAGGATATAGGATAGGGAACTGTACCAGGACAGAAAAAAAGGTACCAAAACTGTTTAGCAGACAGTTGATCAAAGGATCAACTTCGCTTGTTTCTTTGACGAATTGTAGTATGGTGTTAAGAGTGGCAACGCTGACTGATGATGTCAACGACGATATCGGCAAAAAGTCTGGAAACGTACAATGTCCATGGTCAAATGCTGGGAATTATCATTGATATTATGGCAGAGGACTCCGTACAAGGCGTGATCATCTAAATCTCACTAGCAGGGCCAAATTGACAAAACGAGGTCGAATCACTTTTCTTCATCAAAAAGATAGCGCGACCATACTGAAGGCCATACCATTTTTGTATTCACACTTTTAATTTGTATAAAACAAAGTTGTCATGCCGAGTTTTTGGTCCTTGACAAATCCCATTCAGAGTGGACTGAAGTTTCGATCTATCTTGCGTCTCATCAGAGCTTTCAACGGGAATAGAACCCGGGTCGCCCAACGTTGGGAGTTCTGGA